TGTAGATGAAAAATTGGACAGTATTTTTCAAAAAATCTCTTCAACATCGGAGCCCGTGGCCCGAAAAAAAATTAGTTAAGTAACAATATATAGGCAAATGTAAAATTTGGGTTGGAAATCAATCTGTGCGTGGCTTTTAATGAATGATGAACAGAGGAATTTAAAGTAAGGCTAGAGAGAGTCTTATGTATTATCGGCAAATTATAGCCCTATGCGTATGAAATCAAAACAAAAAAGTAGGGACTGAATATTTATCGCTTTCTATCATAACATTTGTTCTTTTATAAATTTTACTTGACATAGATACATTTCAGCATATTTTATAGTTCAAAAGAGCAATTTTCTTAAGGCCTGGAAGAAATAACTCGGCCATGATACCCGGATTGTGAGAAATCTAGGACGAATGTGGTTGAAGATAAAGAATGTTACATTTCAGACAAAAGGGCATTTGATTCATTGCTACATATCTATTATGATTACATAGTATAAGTTAGAAGTATAAGTTGTGTATACACTATTTCATTTAAGATAATGAAGGACTAGGTAGATTAATTTCACCACAATTATATGAGTAGAGCTGACGTTTACAATCAATTTCACATATCCCTGCTTTCACAAAGGTTATTCTCATCCAGGGTGGACTGTAGTTTCGACCTTGCTCAGGTCTTATCAACACCCCTAGCGGGAGTCAAAACTTGACGGTGTAGCGTGTAATCTCTACACGTTAACCACTACGCTGCATTGCCACGAGTTCCCCGGGGTCACAGGACATATGTGAATGTCAAGGAGACTCAGGCTTTTTCCATAGCAAATATAAGTTTATTCATCGACAATCTCAACAGAGAATGTGATATGGAAAATGCCTGACCTTGTTTCAAATACACATCTGCTCCGTTGCCCGAGGGTACTTGTGGCAATGTGGCGTAGTATGATAATGTTTTGAGATTACACACTGCAATGTCAAGATTAGACTACTGCTGGGGGTATTGATAAGACCTGGGCGAGGTCGAAACTGCAGCTCACCCTGGATGAGAACATCTTTTGGGAAAATAAAAATATGTTAATTTCAATAGAAACCTTAGCTCTACTCATAAATTGTGGGGAAATTCAACTACAAGTCATTCATCACCTTAAAGGAAATAGGTTGAGCTCAGCTCATATAACAGATTTACTGGTAGTCTCGAAAACCTTAATAACCAAATAAGTGAGGAATAGTTGGTGGCTAAACGATAGTTAAATACCCATAAAGATAGAAAACACATTCAAAACATATTTAAAAGTGAATATTGGCATAACCGAAGTAATAAATTACTAGTAATCTAGCCTAATGTGTGCCGGCAAATATGAGAAACGATAACAACAAGTGGTTTGACCTCGTTTTTGCGACATAGTCGAGTTGTCAGGACGACTTAGTTGGATGCACCTAAGCGGAAGTCCTTTGCTATACAAGTTATAATTACCAACAACATATCTTAGATTTGATACATTGCCAGATTATGGAGATCAATGTAACGTAACGTGACATGCTTAAAGATATGCACTTGAACGGAGAAATTGACTCATCGACAAAATATTCAGTCATAAGAAAGGATACACGACCACCAACAGCCTATGGATTACCGAAGATCCACAAAGGAAATGGAACTAAGGCTGATTGTCAAAGATAACTATAAAGCAACACACACATTGGCTAAGTTCATATATCAGGAACTCAAAAAATAATCTAAAGATTATAAAACACAGTGAAGCATTCATATGAATTATGATGAGTTGTGATCCATTATCCACATATAAAAAGATCTCTGGAGAAAAGGCTCTAATGGCCCTGCTGGAGAACTTAGACTGTGAAAAGGATAGCCCAGAAGCAGAGGAGCAGAAGGGAGTCGCTAGCATAACTAAATAAACATAACATTAAGGACTATCTACCTCACATTCAATAACAACATCAATGAACATACATTTAGACTTCCTATGGGATAGACGCTCTCACCTCTTTTGGCAAACCTATACATTAACCAATCACTATGTCACCGCAGCAACCACGAGTGCTCATGCGATACCTGGACGACTATTTTGCACTTTGCTCAAATGAAAGGTTTTCTAAAGTTTATAAACCAGATTTATGAAAGAATGAAATCCACAATAAAAGCGGAAAAGGAGCGGTTTTCTATCCTGAATGTTGAAGCCATTCACTCTAATGGGATGCTCAAGAGGGTATTGTTCAGAAAAAAGTCATGTCCTGGAATAATACTCAATTTCCAGGCAAATCACAATTGCAGGCCAAAGTTATGAATAATGGGGAGCATGATCACCATAAGCTTACGATTAATGGATGTGGAATTCTAAGATAAAGAATTGGACAAATTGACTCGGATATTGTTCGGCAATGGATCCACGAACGAAGCAATGAAAAGAATCATACAATCAATGAAAAGTCGATAGAAGGACGGAGAATATAAAAAATGGGAAGGATGGAGAAAGACTCACAATAGTGGATATGATAAACTCCATGCAAACTAACTAAAAAACTATGGCCAATATTGACAAAAAATTAATATTCAGGTAACAACGATGAAACTCCTTTCACAAGTTTTACCACTCAAATGAGAGGGTAGATAAATTGAATTGCTCGGAAATGTACTGCATAGCATGATCATTTGCAAACCGAAATATATTAGCGAAAGAGGGAGAAAAATAATACATTAAAGGCTCTGCTCTTGCAAACAGGATACAGCTTTTTAGGAGTGAAATAAGATGGTAGCGTGTAGATAAACGGGCCAAGATAGAAAGAGCGATATAAAAATCGTTTCGGTGAAAAATTAATCCAGAGACTGACTTCACTTGTCTCTTCGACGAATTATAGCCTGGTGCTGAGAATAGCAAGGCGCACTGACGACGTCGACTATGATGCCGGCGAAACGTCTGGAAATGTACCAAGTCCATGGTCCTACGCTGGGAATTATAAATACTATAGCGGAGGACTTCGGATAAGGTTCGTTCAACTAATTCGCCCTGACAACACGACCAATTTGCGAAAACCAGGTCATGCCACTTCTATACATCGAAAGAAGACTGCGAAAAAATAGAGGCCGCAAAATCTTGGTCGTCATAACTACATATATAAATTTTTCGTATCTAAGTAGAGTTTCGAGACTACATCTCATATAGCATATATCACGTTAACGAAAAAGAAAATTTGCACAAAAATTTACTGAAATAATGAATATTTTCTGTAGCTTAATATAGACATACCGGCATTCCAATCCGTGATTCTTCGCGTATAGAGGCATGTTTGACCATTAGGAGAAGTGCTGAGGTCATCAAGACTGTGTCTCGCCCAGCTGACCTGAGTGGTAGTAATAAGTAAGACAAAATAATGGACTATTAAGTAGACCAAGTATTCAAACACATCTCATCTAACAATGACAAACTCGATCCTCCATATTGAAAGATTTTATTCAATATCGGAAGGAAATTAGGCTAGGTGCTATTCAGTTGGTTACATCTCCTTAAGGATATGTTTGTGGCAAATATTT